TAATGTGTGAAAGGGGGGGGGGGGGGGGGGGGGGATAATGTTAGGACAATTCCAAGGGCGGGCCTGGAATGCGTTTTTTACGGAGGGGGACCCCACACCCCAAGCCCGCCCGTTGAAATAAATAATACATATAGATACTTAAATCAAATCACTAACAATCGATTAAGAAAGAAACAAATAAAGACCAAAAACCCTGACCATATGTCTAATTACACACACACACTGTCACTTTAATCAGTCTGAATAAGCTCTTTTGCACTACAAATCATTTTTTGCACAACAATCATTATATCTGCACTGTTGTTTACTTTACTGGTTTGCACTCTATCTGCCATATGCCTTGTGCTTTATATATATATTTTTACATTTTACCTTATTTGTATATTTGTATAGTTGTATTTTGTATTTAATCTGTATTTATGTTATCTGTATGCACCAAGGGTCTGAGAGTAACGCAATTTCAATTCTCTGTGTGTATGTGCTGTACATGTGGAAGAATTGACAATAAAGCAGACTTGACTAATTCTGACCAAAAATGGTCTAACTCTTCCACACAACTGAATGAACTCATCAGTATCTTAGGTAAACAACTCAGGTAAGTATTCCAGGTAAGTAATAGGGCCTACACCAATTAATTCTCTGACACAAATGGACTTCTCTAGGACATACAAATCTTAAAATTAATTACCAATACCATAAATAATCAATAGAAACAAATAAAAACATTAAAGCATATATAAAGCATATATATATACACACACACACACACACACACACACACACAATAATTTATGAGTAATATATCATAACTCTAAACCAATACTGGGTCCTAACCATGCCATTCCCTACTGACTAATACTACTTTAGCTACTATTCCAAAAGTTCGTGTTGAAAGACGATGATCTCTTTAAGTACTTATTGAAATAACACCCAACCCAAAAGAAATGATGTGAAATAACCAGTCCTTAAAAACACCCCAGGCATTTACCAGTCAACAGCATTTGGGCTGGTGGAGAAGAAGGTGGAGGAGCTCATCCTGTTAGTGAGGGGAGTCTCCTCCTCTTTCACAGCTCCACGTCCGCTCATCCACGCACATGGTCCACATCTCTTCACCAAGTACAGGTGAGAGCTGATGAGTAAGTTAGATCACTTAAACTTGATATTTCACACTCCAGCCTCAACCGCATCAGTTGGTAGTGCTAGCAGGGTGAGTGCTACAGCAGAGGCGCGTGTGTTACCGCTAAAACACATAAGCTAACAGCAGTGGATGTGAATGGAGTCAGAGATGTTTTCTTATCTTTTTATCCTATTGAGGAGAACTTATTCTTAGCTTTGAAGTCAAGTAATATGGAAATTATGAAATTTGACGGGAAATCGTGAAATTTGAAATCAAATGTTTTAAGAGCTAACATTAACTTAACCTGAACAACGTGTTAACTTCCTTAACGTGTAACGTTAGCTCGCGCTGGTTGGTTTCAGCGACCATATAGAGATTAATTACTTATAAAATACTAGTCACTGAATATTGTTTTGTAATATCTACCGTTCTGACTGTTCATAAGTGCAGGATGCCGTTTTGTGTTCAGTGTGTTGTCGCGAATCGAACATTTAAACCCGGGTAACGTTACGTGTTTGACAGCATGGTGAAGCGCGCAGAAGCTTAAAATATACGTATTTTACAATATTAATGAAAACAACAGTAATAAAAGGTGTGCGAGCATAATTTAATTATCACTGAGGAAATGTTATATGTGTTCAATGGATAAACTTGTACAACCAACAACAGGTTTGTACATCTTCCGGGTGTATATACTTACCGTGTTACCTGTATGTAATTATCTACGTTCACGTGCCTGTATCACTTTCTGAGTAAGTTTAATAGTTTAGTTAGGATTATATTCTAAAAAATGTGGTGTATATGGCTCAGCTTCACAGCTAATACTCCTGCATACTTTCAGAATGGTTCAAACTTGCACATTTTGTTCCTACCATTCTCACTGGAGATGGCGCATAAGAAATGGTCATTTAATTACAGAAATTAAGACATGAGGCTGTTACAAATGTATAACTTGTCAAGTCCTACTGCACATTTATTTTAATTTTATTTGTAAAAAAAAAAAGTAATCAAATTCTGATTAATATCATGTCATGCACACAAAACCTGTTTTTATGGTTAAAATGTAAGATGTAGACCAGTGGAATGAAAAACAATGCAAGGTCTAGATGTGGGGTTTTAAAAGTTGAACAGCTTTTAACCTGGGCACTGCATTTTTCATTTTTAAGACTCTGCGAAAAGAAGAGAACAGCAGTCAGGGATATCCGTCAAGTGCATGTTTAGATAAAAGAAATCAATGAAAAGGTGTTCTTTGTGAACAGCCCCTTATGCAACTCAGTCATTGTTTAAAAATATGTAACTTAACATGAAAAGAATTAAGGCATTAAACATTGGCATGTTCATTTTCTGCTGTTAAAGATTATACCGTACAGTGGCCCCAAAAATATATTTTTAAAAGGGGTCATAATATGCGATTTCATTTTTCCTTTCTCTTTGGAGTGTTACAAGCTCTTGGTGCATAAAGAAGATCTGTAAAGTTGCAAAGACTAAAGTCTCAAATCCAAAGAGATATTCTTTATAAAAGTTAAGCGTTAACCACGCCTACCTAAAACGCCTCGTTCTAACACGCCCCCACATGTCTACGTCACGATGTGGGAAGATTTGCATAACGCCGCCCAAATGTTCACGCACAGATCGAAGGCGTAACTTTTATTCTCGCTGTAGTATTGTTGTTGCCGCCGCCATGTCGTGGAGATGCTGTGTGTTTAGTTGTGAAAGCGAAACTACTTTGTTTGGCCTTCCAAAAGAGGACGATATCCGCTTCGTTATGCCTGGAGCTGATCCGTGCTGGTCGCTGAGGAAATACAACAACTTCCCGCTGTGGATCGCCGGATCGGCTTTCACCGTGGACGGAGCGGAGTCCAGCCCGGGGTCATCCCATGTGGTTGCCGCAAGCCTGCCGGACGCTCCTTCGTTCAGTCCGCCGGTCGCGCCGTTCTCAAGGCCGCTGGCCTTCGCTCACTCTAGCCCTCCGTGTGTGATGCTGTGTGACGCATTTTATGGAAGACTGTTTTCTGAACCTGCAGAGTAGCATACAATGGGTCTGTGCTCAAAGGCTGTTCTATAAAGTGGGGTAGTTCCAACTTCGCAAGGGCAGTCTGGCGCTTCTGACTCACAGCCTGTAAGTACATATTTTTATATTTAATGAATTTGCCAATTCAAACGCGAGTAACGCTTGTTGTTTGTCGTTTCTCCGATCACAAATGCAGACATGGTTTTATGTTTACGCGGCGCGATTAGGGATGGGCGATATCTTATCGTTTGCGATATACCGGTAAAAATTCTCCCCACGATAAGAATTAGTCTTCCTGCGATAATAACGATAAAGTCTAGTTGTTGACATATTTATGTGTGCGACAGTGCGGAGCGACATCACGGAAAGCGGACGTGAAATTGAGGAGTAGCCTATATCGCTAAATGAGGAGCTCAAGCTGTAAATGGTTTGGTTAGGGCTGTACAGTGGACAAAAATTCGGTCTGAATGTACTACAGTAGCACGTGTGCGATACAGTTTTGCATGTGTATGAGCCTGTTTACAAAACTGTTGTCCAAACAAAGTTTCTGTGCAAGAGCGCCCTCCGTCTTCCAGTATGAATTAAACAGCCTTTACATTACGTGTGAACTCATTAACCTCATTAAGACCTGGCAAAACATTTTAGGAAAAAAAATTATTTTTTGATGTCATTACATTGTTTAGAGCATTCAAAAAAATGTAAACAAAAAAAACAAAAGGTTATTTCATTCATAAGTTATGCTACGTCCTTGGTAGAGGACATCGGTTTCTTAAAAAAAAAAAAGACATGATTGAACATGCATAGAAAAAAAACAATAGATTTTTTTAAAATCACCAATACATTTTTAGTTTTTAGGATTTTTTTTTTACCAAACTGTGTATAAAGATAATTCTCAACTGTTATAACAGATTGATTTGATATACCATTTTTCTTCATGCAAAATGTGTGTAAATTGTCCACAAACAGGTTTTCTCATTATATATAATGTATCTATAAACTAAATCTAATTTGCATATTCATGTGTTTTTGGGGCAACATGTAATGAAAAAAAGAAGTGTAATATTGAAAGTAATAATTGACCAGATTTTCATAATATTTCATAGGAATATTGAAATATATTTTCTTTCCCTATTCATTTGTTGTGTCTCCCAAAATGCGTAATAAACATGCTTTTAGTCCCGGTGTCCTCATATGAGGACATGTATGAAATCAACCTCCTGTTTCGTAACAGTTATATTTTGATTTGAAACCCCATAACATTTTCCTAAGATTTATGACACACAGTTTAAAAATTTGTCCGATTTAAATGACAATTACAAAATATTATCATATTTCCATAAGAGTGTCACTAAATTAATATCAGACATTTTTGAAGACCAAGGAGAGGGGGTGGTCTTGGTGAAACATCCAAACATTTAGTATCTCTGAAAAGCCCTGAATGTACAGGACATCCAGACTGTGGCATGTATAGTCTAAGAGAAATTCACTAAAATATAATGTCCTCATATGAGGATGCAGAGTCTCGGGAGGTTAATGCTCATCCTATTTTGGATAAAAATAAAAAAAATAATACTTTTCTTAAAAGAAACAGGATTCCCTGAATTATCGTCATTGATATCGTTATCGTAATAAATACCAGAAATATCGTGATATATTTTTAAGCCCATATCGCCCATCCCTAGGAGCGATACGCAACGCATCGCGTAAAAACATAGTATAAGTCATTATAATCAGTAATTATGTCCCCACTTGATGCAACAAATGCCTCGTTTGTAATGGGTTTTATTGGTTTTGTCTCGCCGTGCCGGGAGACGGCATCACAGTGTGTTAAGAGGCGTAACATTTGCTTCACACGCTTGAGGTATTCAGCCAATCACAATGCACTGGATAGCTGGCCAATCAGAGCACACCTCGCTTTTCAGACCAATGAGCTTTGTAAAAATCGATGCGTTTCAGAAAGGCGGGGCATAGAGGAGAAACAATAATGTACAGTATGTGGAAAATAATGTTTTTTGTTTTTTTACCTTAAACCGCATAAACACATTGCATTACACCAAATACACAACATAATGTTCTTTTTAGCAATGTCATATGACCCCTTTAAGTCATACTTAAAAATATGACTTTTACAAGCTTTCAATTCTCTTTACAATTCTTTTGGTGTATAACATTGTCATGCTGTTCAAATGAGCATGTTCCCCCCACTTAGTTTTAGTGTTCAGTGAAAGTCTTTATCGCTAGTAGATTTATCTCTAAAAGCAGTTAGTTCAGCAGGCTGTAGTTGATGACCGCACCCAACTAAGCGTTGCCTGGTTCTCTTCTCACATTGTACTGGTTTCCTCCTGATGTCACTGCACTTGCTCTGTGGCATCATGGGCAGCAGGTGTGGGCAAAACAACTGAGGCTCAATTAAATAACTTGTTCTTCAAGAGGGCTTGTTAGCATTGATGTTGGAGCGATTAAGCTACTTTTTTTTTTTTGAACAAGTCTAAATTGTTTTGTGTTGTCAATAACATGCCACAGATGCTGGTGGCACAATTGTATTAAACCTACAACATTCCATTAACTGTGTTTTATCTCTCTTATCACCTTCCAGATTTGAGACAGAAAGAAAACAACGATGAAACTTGGCTGAAACTCCAGGTTTGATGTGTACAGACTCTTGTGTAGTTGATGGTCCAACGTCACATTCTTGATTTTTGTAGTACCCCTGCCTCTTGAGTTGAGTTCATCATGGGGGACGCCGACTCCACCAGCTCCATGCGTCTAAAGCAGGAGATCTCACTACTCCATGGTGTCTGTCTCATCGTGGGGAACATGATTGGCTCGGGCATCTTTGTTTCTCCCATTGGTGTTCTGGAGAAAACAGGATCTTATGGTCTGTCTCTGGTGGTTTGGGTTATTGGAGGAATCTTCTCTGTTTTTGGCGCCCTGTGCTACGCTGAGCTGGGCACAACCATTCGCAAGTCGGGAGCTAGTTATGCCTACATCCTGGAGACCTTTGGGGGCTTCCTTGCATTCATCCGTCTGTGGACCTCACTGATGATCGTGGAACCGGCCTGCCAGGCGGTCATTGCGCTTACTTTTGCTAATTACCTTGTGAAACCGTTCTTCCCCACCTGCCCGGCACCAAATCATGCAGTACGGCTCATAGCGGCTATCATTATAGGTAAGTGTACTCATGCATGCTTTGATAAACACACATGTAGCAGCACTTGAAACTAATATAAATAGTGGCACAATAAAGGCTGGCTTTCCCGGGGATTCATTACTGTTTACTGTTCACACAGCGCAGTGTGTATGAGAGTACTCTGAAAAGAGCAACTCGTGTTAACTTATGTCAAAAATAAATCATACCAATTTATGCCGCTACCTGTTGATCGTAACAGATCATGGTATTGATCTGCATACCTTTATTTACATAATTTGTTTAGTTTGTGTGGTTGCCTTACAGTCCCCATACAAAATAGAAAATACATATATTGTAATAGTAACTTCATGTACACAACATTTGTGTTGTTAGTTACTGTTAAAATGGAAACTTTTAAAAGTTGTTTTCATTCATAAAAATTAAATGTTATTATTAGATGATAAACTTTAACTTAATAAACAAATGAAAATGTGCTTTGGTAACTAATTGAAATGCAATAATAATAATGCAATAATTATAAAAAATAACTAAAACGGAAATAAAAAAATGAAAGCTAAATAAAAATAATTAAAAAGCATAAAACAAAATTACTGAAACTTAAACAATTTTAAATGAATTTTTTAATTGAATAAATGTCCACCAGGGTGCTCATGGTGCAATTTTCTCTGCAATGTTATTTTATTCATTTCCTTTTTTTATTTGAAATTTGTGTTTTCTTTTTACTCCTTTTGATTTTCTTCATACTAAAACATCCTTGCAAGTTGCAATGATAAAAAGTGGCAAAGTCTCTTTTCCACTGAGTTAAATCCAGGAACCTTCTTTTTCCTTCATCAGAAAGTACAAATTTACTTCGAAAATTTTTGGGTGAACTACCTCTGTGGACTCGGCTGTTAGATTGTGTAGTTTCAATATTAACTTGTTAATTACACAGTCCAGCAGGTGAGTCGGCACTGCAGTGTGAACAAACTGTCAACATTTTCATTTGCCTAAAGTACATACTCGTACTACTTTGCATAAACTTGTACTTTGTTCTTGTAATTTGTTAAAATGAAGTGAATACTGTCTATATAAATTTTTAAAGGGGTCATGTGATGCGATTTCAAGTTTTCCTTTCTCTTTGGAGTGTTACAAGCTGATTGTACATAGATAAGATCCCTGAAGTTGCAAATACTAAAGTCTCAAAACCAAAGAGATATTCTTTATCGAAGTTAAGACTCTGCCACGCCCCCCTAAAACGGCTCGTTCTAACACGCCCCACATATCTACCTCAATATGTGGAAATATTTGTATAATGCCGCCCAAATGTGCACGCAAAAGAAGGCGTGGTTTCAGTAACTGCAGTTAGTGTTGAAGCAGCCATGTCAGGGAGACGCTGTGTGTTTCTAGGAGAAAGCAAAAGCACTTTATTTGGCCTTCCGAAAGTAGATGCATTTAGGAATCATTAAGATTACTTACAACAGAACAGCAATGCATTTTATGGATGACCGTTTCGTGAACCTAGGAGAGGAGGTAATTCTGACTTTGCTATGACAATCTGGCGCTTCTGAATCAGCTACTGTTTTGTTAATAGTTTAAGTATTTGCTATTGACTGTTCAAATGCGGAGTTTTGCGTATCGTGTGTGTGTGTGCGCGAGAGAGAGAGAAGGGGGGCCAAATACACAAAATAATGATCTTTAAAAAAGCATCATACGACCCCTTTAAGCAAGTGTTTTCTGTTAGTTCAGCTGTTAATTCCACTGCGGCTGCCAATCTGTTCTCTCCATTCCTGTCAGTGTTGGTTGGCATTATTTAGACATTTTATTTGTCAACCAAATACTTTCCATTTGGGCTGGAGTCCGTAACCCTGCCAAGACCTCCACGAGACCTTTTTATGACCTTTACCTTTTATGTTTTAAGTCACTGGTGACTGTTTCCACAGAGATCATGCGCAGTTTGTTTGAGTTCAAGGGAATTCTTGGGTATTTGTCACCTGTGGCATGTTTTGCTACTTACTGCGGCAAAGTCCACCCAAGTACTTAGCAAACAGGCCTGAACCACAATTATGCAAGCTTATATAACAGTGTAATTCTACAGGGTTTAATTTCCATTTAGTGACAAATAGCACTTTATTTGGACCTGGTCTGTACAGTTTCATCAGAATGAGGTGGCATTTGAACTGAGATTAAATCTGGAACAGAAATACCTCAATTAATCTCCTGGGTATCACAGCGCCAGGACGTCCAGTCACGATGGTATCTGCAGTTTTGAGAGACTGTTTATCGAGGAGTGAATTACTGTCAGACTTGGTTTGTTGGTGAAATTAGATGCCAGGAGTGTTCACTGCAGTATCAGATGAATGGAGGAACTTGAATTGCCTGTCAGTAAAACAGCAGAAGCAGGAGTTGAGGGTTTACTCTGTTCTGAAAAAAACTCAAACGCAGCCTAATTTTATAGCCCTGGACAACCTGTCAGTGAATCTAAATACTTACGACACATTGGAAATTTACGTTCATCTACAAGGAAATAGTAATAGTAGTTATAATGGAACACAATTGCACAATGCAGCTATGGAACTATTACACACATGATCAAAATGGACATTAAGAAATAACAGTTGCAAACAGCAATTAAAGTATATTCGGTATACGCATTGTCTGGCTTTTATATGGGCATGTCTGTCTCTGTTTCCTTTGCAGGTCTTCTCACCTTTGTGAACTGCATGAAGGTAAAATGGGGGGCCATTCTTCAGGTCATCTCTACTGTGGCTAAAGTTCTGGCTCTCATAGTCATTATCATTGCTGGAATGATTGTGCTGGCCCAAGGTTTGAACATACTGACACACGTGTTGTTTATTATATATATCTTATACCATATTACAGTTAAAATTTTGGGGGTTTTAAACTTAAACTTTTTTTTTTTTTAAAGAATTAAATATTTTTACTGAGCAAAGACACATTTAATTGATCAACATGATAGTTAATTGTATCCATTTATAATATTACCAAAAATTATATTTCAAATAAATGCTGTTGTTTTCTATTCATCAACGAGTCCTGAAAAACTACATCATGCTTTCCAACATGATAATGAGAAATGTTTCTTGAGCAGCAAATCAGCATATTAGAATGATTTCTGAAGGATCATGTGACACTAAAGACTAGAGTAATGATGCTGAAAATTCAGCTTCGCATCACAGGAATACATTACATTTTAAAATAGATTAAAGTAGAAAACAGTTATTTTAAACTGTAATAATATTTTACAATATTAATGTTTTTACTGTAATTTTAATCAAATAAATGCATCCTTGGTGAGAATGAGATTTTTTTTAAAAATACCGACCCTATACAGTAGTGCTACACATTTATATTTTTGAGAGTTGTTACTGTTTGTTTTTGACATTTGACTGCATCTGCATTGCTGTGCCACAGGAAAAACGGACAACTTTAGGGATTCGTTTGAGAACTCTAAACTGGATCCAGGAAACATGGCTCTGGCTCTGTATGCCGCTCTGTACTCATACTCAGGCTGGGACACCCTGAACTTCGTCACAGAGGAGATTAAAAACCCAGAGAGGTACTAATACTCATGACATTTTACTTAATATTAAGACATGCTCCACTCATCATGAGTAAGAATCAATAATAATAGAAGGATTTCTCATGTCCCGGCTTAATATGCAGAGATAACTATAAGTAAGCCATATGTAGGTTGATTGCCCTGAAAAGCTTATGCTATAGTACTTTCGAAACATTGCTCAATTCATTTAAGCAATTGAATCAAATTGGCTCAACCAATGGCATTCATTTGGGGTGGGACTATCGGTTTTACTGACCAGTGGCAAACTGGGGGTGTGTTTGGAAAAAAGTCATCATCTGTACAATCCTTTTTGGTGCAGAAATTTCACACTTCATCTTGAATGAATGTCCAACAGTTTTGTTGCAAATCAATCAGGAAGATGTAGTATGTAAGCAAAATCTGTCTTTCTCTTCTACAGGAACCTGCCATTGTCTATAGCGATCTCCATGCCTATTGTCACAATAATCTACATCCTGACTAATATCGCCTATTATGCAGTGCTGGACATGAATACACTGCTACAGAGTGAAGCTGTGGCTGTGGTGAGTAAAACATTTCTTGGGAGCTGAATTTTATGATAAAAAAGATACATTGAATATCTCAAGCTACTGTAGCAAAGCTTATTTTTAACCCACATGATCTTGGATGTCACATGGAAGTTAATGGACCGCGTCTGTTTAGTTTATTTGCTCCAGATTTGATCATGTTTTCATCTCCTGTTACACTGATCTGGTTAAGCAGAGCAGCTTGAGGCAATGTCCTCTCTCTAGAGATGCTCGATGACATTAGTCCACAACCACAGAAGCTCTGCTGCCTGTAATTATGCTAGTATGCTGCTCTGTAGAAGTTTTAATGGCCAACAAACTGTTTACTGTGTTTGAAGCATTGTTTTGTTTCTGCTGGGTCCTGTTACATTTTTGTATGCAGAGACAACTACATTCTTCCAAAACATTGCTCTGCTTGTTTGAGCATCTAACACAACAACATTAGCTTAACCAGCTGCACAATTAATCAAGGGCTCGGTATCGATTCAGATGTCCCGATTCGATTTCGATACGCAAGCTTTCGATTCGATTCTCGATTTATTTTTATTACATTCAGTGAATATAGTTTTAATACAAATGCTATTGATATTTCTAAAAACTTAACAGTAAACATCAGTTTACAAATGGTGAATTAATAAAAAGAAATTAAGAACCACATGCCTGTATTTTAAACATATTCTTTTTTTTTTTTGTATAGGGTCCTTTTTTAAACAATAATAGGACCCTATAAAATGTTCTTAATTTTTCTGGTAATCAGATGAAGGCATAAAACATTAATTTAATTTATCCTAATCAAATTAAAATTAAACCCTTTTCATTTTTGGCAAACAAAGTGCTGCACAACAGAGGTTTACTGTTAAAATTAAAAAGATAACGGATGTGATTATTTCTTTAAAAATAAAGATTTATTAATATTTATTAGCAGTAGTAGCATTGAGTCTTAAGACTGCTAAATAGTAATATATTCTGACAGTAGAACATTAAACTAAACTTTTATTTTTGACGGGTTGCCGTGAAGAACTTGCAGCTGCTGTGTATGTGATATGACGGTAGATTTCTCAAATGAAACAGTAAATGCTAATGAAGTGACTCTCAGAGCAGCTGGAGATGACATTCGTGTTCATATCATCATATAGTGAGACGGCAGAAGCTGAAAACACCGCGAGCGTCATCCACGCTTTAGTATGTGTGTAGTAAACAAAACAGTGTGCCCCGCCATTCATTCATTGCTGAAATCATGGCGCCTTATGTGTGATATCAGATGCTTCCGCAGATTTATAGTATTACTATAGCATTTCACCTGAGCATTGCGAATCACACGTATGGCCATGATAAGCGCTGAATGAATGACAGGCTTTCTGTTGTAACATCGCGCAAGGTAAATAAGGGTGACATCTAGTGGAGAAGACTAATGATAAGATTCACGTTAATCAGATCTTGTTTTAAATGTGTGCTGAAATAAATACTGGAAAAGATCGATTCGTGGCTTTTGAGAATTGATATCGAATCGACGTCATTTAAAAAAAAACGATTAATCGGAAAATCTATTTTTTTTTGCCCAGCCCTAATTAAAAAAAATAATACAATTTTGCGATATTGCTTAGTGAGATTGTCTAGTCTCAAAGGCTGCAATTTAATTAAATTAATACATGCGTTGCATCTATCACAGTGAAGCGTGGCACTGTTCATTTGTACACGAGCAGCTCTGAGTTTTTTGTTCAGTGTCTCAGAATGGTTTGCAATAACTTCTGCTCCACATGAACTAATCTCTACATCTGCTGTGAGTCTGGTTCACTTCTGCATTTGGGAACACAGCTTACACTGATAATTTTCCTAAACAATGTGAAGTGCTTATAAACCGGCTGTTGACTAAAGAAGAGAAGTTTTAAAGGGGTCATATGACGTTGCTAAAAGGAACATTATTTTGTGTATTTGGTGTAATGCATTGAGTTTATGCGGTTTAAGGTTCAGAAAATACATTATTTTCCACATACTGTACATTATTGTTTCTCCTCTATGCCCCGCCTTTCTGAAACGCGTCGATTTTTACAAAGCTCATCGTTCTGGCCCACTGGCCAGCTATCCAATGCGTTGTGATTGGCCGAATACCTCAAGCGTGTGATGGAAATGTTACGGCCCTTACCATACTGTGATGCTGTGTCCCGGCGCGACGAGACAAAACCAATAAAACCCATTACAAATGAGGCATTTGTTGCATCCAGTGGGGACATAATTACTGATTATAATGACTTATACTGTCTTTTTGCTCGTTGCATTGTGTATCGCACTGCGTAAACACAAAACCTGCATTTGTGATCGGAGAAACAACAAACAACAAGCGCTACTCGACGCTGCTCAAAACTTGCATTTGAATCATCAGTGGCAAATTCTTTAAATATAAAAACGTACTTACAGGCTGTGAATCATGAAGTGCCAGACTGTCCTTGCAAAGTTGGAATTGCCCCACTTTATAGAAACAGACAGGCTACTCTCCCAGTAAATAGTCCTCCATAAAATGTGCTGCACACATCTGAATATTTGGGTTGAACTGTTCTGGAACAGTGTTGTAAATACAACTTAACCACTGATTTCTAGTCGTGTCCTCTTTTGGAAGACCAAACAAAGTAGTTTCGCTTTTACAACGAAACACACCGCGTCTCCACAACATGGCAGCGGCAACAACAATACTACAGCAAGAATAAAAGTTACGCCTTCTTTCTTTGCGTGAACATTTGGGTGGCGTTATGCAAATCTTCCCACATCGTTATGTAGACGTGGGGGCGTTAGAACGAACCGTTTTAGGTAGGCGTGGTTGACTTAACGTTTATAAAGAATATCTCTTTGGATTTGAGACTTTAGTCTTTGCAACTTTACAGATCTTCTTTATGCACCAAGAGCTTGTAACACTCCAAAGAGAAATGAAAAATTGAAATCGCATCATATGACCCCTTTAAGCTTTAAGAGAAGCAATTTTCCACCAAAGTAAAAAGCTTGTTGGTTTAAAAAATATATAAGAGAGTTGTTAATATTATTATTGTAATTTTACAGTTGTAGTGTTAAAATATAAACAAAACAAAATAGATACTGTACATTGTGTTATATTGTGATCTCTAAATTCACTTGTAGCATTTAAATGGGCTCATTTTAGTGTTTAATTTTTTTATTATTTAGACAAACTAATATAGAGTGTCAGCCATTTATTGGTTAATTGTCATAATGAAAAAAAAACACTTGCTTTTATGTCTAATACATTCATGCTTTTAATACTGTGAACTGGACTTTGCATTGCTGCAGCACACACAACAATACACATCTTTCTGGTTACTACTGTTTCTCTATCTTATACACTGTATTCCTTACCAATGTCGTATTGTCCTGTGACATACTGTACTATGGCTAATAATGTTGGACCTTATTATGTCACTGTTTACATTCCTACGCATTTGCACTTATGAAATTGCACTGTCGATTGATGCTCTAATGTAATCTTGTTGTTCTTACAGCAATGACAATAAATTATTATTATTATTAACACAGACGTTTGCTGACTATGTGCTGGGATATGCTAGCTGGCTCATCCCGCTGTCTGTGGCCATCTCCTGTTATGGAGGTTTAAACTCCTCTATCATTGCCGCATCCAGGTAAAGATCTTGTTCAGAGTCTTCTGTCGTTTGATGAGTCGATGCATGGTGGCAGGAATTCAGTTTCTTAGCCAAATCCTTTTTTTCCTTTTAGGCTATTCTTTGTGGGTTCACGTGAGGGCCATTTACCCAATGTCCTCTGTATGATCCATGTCAAACGCTACACGCCAATTCCAGCCCTGCTGTTTAATGTGAGTAAGCAGGCTGAGACATGCCTGTACTATGTAGAAAATGTAGAATATCCATGTTATATACTAAAAACAGGACGCTTCAATCTGTATGATCTGCTTTTTATCCTCCTCCCATAGGGTGGCATGTCACTCATATTTCTCTGCGTGAAAGACGTGTTCCAGCTTATTAATTACTTCAGTTTTAATTACTGGCTGTTCATCGGCCTTTCTATAGGCAGTCAGATCTACCTGCGCTTTAAAGCACCTGACCTGCCCCGTCCTGTTAAGGTAAGTCAATAGCTCTGTTACAGACCCAAAGCTACTGTGCTAATACCCACTACCTGTGTAATACTAACCATTAGAATTGACTGATTCTGAATTGTCTCCATGTACACACTCCTAGTACTAGCACACCTCGTGTGAAGGAGATTTTCAACTCACAATTCATTTTCTCAATGGTAGACTTAGACAAATGAAGATATTTTTGATGAAATCCGAGAGCTTTCTGACCCTCCATAGACAGCAACGCAACTACCACATTCAAGGCCTAGAAAGGTAGTAAGGACATTGTTAAAATTGTCCATGTGACATCAGTGGTCCTTACTATCTTTCTGGGCCTTGAACGCGTCAGTTGCGTTGCTGTTTATGGAGGGTCAGAAAGCTCTCAGATTTCATCAAAAATCTTAATTTGTGTTCCAAAGATGAACAAAGTTCTTACACAGTGTCCTAACTACACGCGACGTGATGCCACGACACATGATGAAAGGCGACACGCAAAATTTCAAATTTGAGAGACGGTTTCTATTTTTGCGAAGTCGCAGCTGGAACAACAAGATACAAACTATATGACCGTAATCTCAGGTACTGATTATGTGCTTTATTCAATGTTAAAAATTGTTTAATGTGCGTTTGAATATCATTTTGTGACCTTATAGCCATACTGAAAGCAACAGATAGTCTCCGCAGATCTCGAAAATAAATTAAAGCAAACATTACGTTTAAAACTGCGAACTCGGTGTGAACCAACAAGCGTATTCCATTACAAATGTGGTATCAGTCACTCAGTATGTACATTTAATAATGTTAAAAAGGCTTACTATTTAGGAATTAGAATATAAACTTATCCATTTCGTTATGAGTGCAGTGTCCTTCCAGAGAGAGCCCGCCCACACGCGCTTCTGATTGGCTGTGATATTTGATTGATTCTGTGGTGTCGTATTGTCGTGTCAAGTTTGGTGTGGACAGCCAAATTGTTTGTCGCTGGAATCTTGTCGCGTCGCGTCGCGTGTAGTTAGGACATGGTGTTACGGGTTTGGAATAACATGAGGGTGAGTAATTAATGACAGAATTTTCATTTTTGGGTGAACTAACCCTTTAAGAATTACTTGTAAACTTGAAGACCTGAGCTATGAGGTTGTTAATCAGTTGTACATGCTTTAAAAAAACTACATTACCCATGATTCTGTACACTCTAAAAAAAATGTTGGGTTAAATATAACTCAGCGCTGGGTTAAAAAGGGACAAACCCAGCTATTGGGTTGTTTTGACCCAGCATTTTTTAGGGTGTAGAGAAACTCTCCACCAATCAGAGAATCATGACAAGCAAATCAAGCCAGGATGACTCTTTGGTGCCCGTTTCAGTAGTCTCTCAAACTACTACTCTATATTTATAAATATGCAATTAAATGTAAAATATTTAGTTTTTATGTACATAATTAACATCTTTAATTGGATAGCTTTATATTTATCTGTTGTTATTATTTAGATTTGTCATTCACAATGCTCTTTCCCTCATTAAAGCCATGTGAATTCTCTTATAGCTGGTTGGTTTCAAAGATTATTTTTTTAAATTCCTATGGGAAAAACTTTATGGGAAAAGTACTGGAACCAAAGCTGCTGACAAAAGGGCTTTCTCTCTCTTTTTCTTCCTCTCTATCTCTATATCTGTCTCTCTCTAAAGGATATGTGTAATACTTAGTCAAGATAAAGTATCTAAGTATTCTCATCTAATAGAACAGCCTTCACATCAGAAGTGCATTTATGGTGCCTTAAAATGCTTCAGATAATAACCAATGTCATATATTTAATATTTGCAACAGTTGACATTTTTATTTCGTTATTGCCCCGGTTTATGATGTGCTTAATTGACTCTGTGTGTTTGTTTCCGTGTAGTTGAGTCTGTTCTTCCCTATAGTGTACTGCCTGTGCAGTGTGTTTCTGGTGGTTGTACCGCTCTACAGTGACACTATAAACTCTCTGGTGGGAATCATCGTCGCTCTCTCCGGGGCTCCTGTGTATTACATATGTGTGTACCTCCCGCCCAGCTCCAGACCCGCCTTTCTAGGACACATGCTCGGTGAGTGAGCAGTGAGCACACAAGAGCAAGAGCCTCACGTTTCTCTTGTCTCGCTTCTATTAGTTCAGCTGGGCACCTGCGGTACCTGCACGGCTCTGGTTTCTGCTGCAGGCTGTAGGAAGTGTTTTTACTTTGAAACATTCTCCTAGGTGCTACACCCAGGTTCTGTTTGCCTTCTAGGGGTTTTGTTGCATATATACATAATTGTGGTGATGTGTAATAAATTTGAGCCCAAGATGAATTCGCTGTTATGAAACGGGAGATTTCAGTCATTTTCCATAGATTTTTGGTCATACTTTACAGTGTTTATGATGTAGTTGTATTGAGTAATAAAACTCAGCTAAAGTGTTTAATACAGACAATTAGGGAAAGAATGTCACAGAAACTCGGGTGTGGGTTCTTTGGTCTGAGCCCTGTAAACAACCACCTAGCAACGACCTGGAACACACTAGCAACCATATAACAGTGTCTCGGCAACTACTTATGGCGCTTTTCCACTGCGTGGTACGACTCGGCTCGGCACGGCTCTGTTTGCGTTTCCACTGCAGTTCAGTACCACTTTAGAGTGGGCGGGATTATTCACGTGTCGTTATAGTTGCGCCGCCTCTATTGCTGCGACTCCTGAAAAACGTTTTCGTTCCGCGTCGCCCCATCAAGCTCTTGCTGGATCCACTCCTCTGCTATCAACGAGAGGAACGTCTGTTCTTCCGCAACAGACAACGAAACAGCCACTTTTTGGTTGTTAAAAAAGGTGCGCTTGTTCAAAACAGTTGCGTTCGATCCTTCGCTGGCTGTGCTGATTTAAATCTAGCATTTCTTTTGTGTTTGTGTCGCAAGTTCAGTGACGCAGGTAGTGACAATTCTCTCCGGCCAATCAGTGATCAGCAGAGTTTACACGTCACATTTTGGTAACGGTACGGTTCACTTGGAACCCCAACCGAGGTGGTACTAAAAAAAGTACCAGGTAATGTACCCAGTGGAAAACCCCCCAAAAGTGAACCGTACCATGCAGTGGAAAAGAATACCCTACTTATTAAGGTTGTAAAACTTCCACAGGCAAGCATCACTCATTTTCTTCAGACTATAAAAACTGAAAAAAAAGTTAGTATTTTAATTGTTAGGGCTGTTGTCAATTAAACTTTTTAAAGTAAGTCTAATTTTAATAGAATTGCATGTGCTAAATTTGAAACGTGCGCTGACTGAATTCTCAAAAACATCAAAGTGGTTCTTCACACTCAAATTTCTTCAAACTGTGTATTAGTATTAGTATTATTATCATCATTGTCAATGTTGGGGAAAGTTACTTTTAAAAGTAATCCATTACAATGTGTACCTCCATGAAAAAGTAACTGGCTTCATTACTTTTTATGGAAAGTAATGAATTAAGTTACTTTTACTTAAATTTTTCTCACCTGAGCAGGCTTATTCATTTTAATAAAAAAAACTCAAAAGTTGTATTTTTTGGCAACTGTAAAGGCCCTTTAACACCAAAAGTGAAATGAATAAGCCTCAGGCTGAAGGAACTGCCTCTTTCTCTGCACCTCACTCCCAAAAGTAATGCGTTACTTTACTAGTTACTTGGAAAAGTAATCTGACTTGTGTTATTTGTAATGTTACTTAATACGCTCGTTGTATTTTCATTTAAAATGAATGAAAATTGACAATTTATTTTCACTAAATTAATTAAATTGACAGTTCTATTCATTGTGTATAAAATGGACATGTAATGTAAAGTGTCACTATGCTTTTAGAAATGTTAATTGTTTGAATTAGAATCATCATAAAAAAACAACTTCAGCCTCAAGTTTTTAGAGCAGTTAGACTAGTTAATCTATACCATTTTGATCTTTGACATATGGACCAGTTAAGATGTTTTCAAGTAAGCCAAATATTTAATGTTCTGAATTATTTTCACATACAGTACTCATCTTTTTCTTTTTTCAGACACAATTTCATTGCAAACACAGAAGCTGTGTTATTGCTGCGTGGCAGAACCCGGTTTGAACCTGGACGATCCACCCGAGGATCACAAAAAGGAATAAACAAACATCGGCTCTAAAGGAAGCTGAACCAAGGAAGCCGGATTACCGAGACTTCTTTGAGAATAAGCCAACACTCAAGCCAGAACCTCACGTCTGCACCTTCCAGTCTTGAGCATGCATGGAATGGAGCAATGGATAGAGATGAGATTATGATTGAAATATTCAACCGAGTAAACAACTGAACACACAAGTACACACACCCTGTGCCTATGATCCCTCAGACCTGTGACTGTGTTTTGAACATTAAGTTCAGTCCAGTGGACACAATACAGTGGACCATTCAGTTAAAGACTGTTGTGAATGTGACAGTAATGTTGTTTTATTGAAATCAGGTTTATCTCCTTGTTTTATTCATAAATGTTTATTTTTTTGTCCTCCTGTGAGCTTCTGATGTTCATCACAACAGTCTTATATGAGGCTCTCTAGTAGGGATGATCAACTTTTGTTAGGCCTGTTAACTGAAACGTAGCGTCTCTAGAGATGTGCAAGATGCATTTTTGCTGGATAATGAATTTTGTTTACGGAGATGAAGGATTGTTCCATAGGTACTCCAGACTTTAAAGCCATATCTTTTTTTTTCTTTTTTTTGCAGTTATAACTCCAGTTGGGAAACTGACTTTTTTTTTTTTTAAAGTTACTCTGTGAGCCTTATTTCAGCTTTATATAAAGATTTATTTTATCTAGTGTGTCCTTATAGTCCAAAGCACAGCATGTGTTTTTATTCTGGATGCCCCAGGTTTTTGGGCAGTTTTTTGGGAGCACTGTCAGTATGTGCAAAAATGTTTGCCATACATAGACAGTAAAGATATTAAAATAAAAACAGCAGAGTTTGAGTTTACGAGAGGGGAGACGGTGTCTTAACGTGTTTGCCAGTTTTGGTCAATCCCAACTTCAGTCGTTTCCAAATAATTTTATTTTGTATGATTGCTGACATGCACAGACATCACTTTAAAAACCGCCTGTCAGATGTGACATTTTTCCGGATTTTTAGAGTACATCAATTCCTCATCTGATGGACTCATTAAAATAATAGACCAAAGAATTGGTAAAATGCATATCAGCAATTAAGAAGCCTTAAGATGTTCATGGCAGTAGATATTTAATATGTCTTAAAGCTGCTAAATAACAGCACATCTTGCCATTGCTCTTGTATTCTGTACTGCAGCACTTGATTCCATGCACTGTTCATCCCTCTGCCCAATACAGTGACCAAAGTGAAATCCAAAATATATTCCGCCCTGAAATGATTAATTACATATAATTCTGACCCAACTCTGTTTTACAGATGGATGTGTGTTAGTCACCAAAACAAAATATTTAAATTTTGATCATCTTCACTTTTGTTCTGTGATAAATATTCCATCCATTTTTCCTTGTGTCATAAGTTCTGTATGGTTATTATACGTGCCTTAAAGCAGTAGTGATTTTATATGGCCAAATTATCAATATATTGTGTAGAACATTCAAATATTCTATATATTGTTTTTTGAGAATTAGCGTTATAAATCTATGCTCTTTTAAATGTTCTGCCATAACATTCCATTGTTTTATGTTCATTTAAGACTGTGTAACTGTTTGTTGGTTTCTTTTATTTATTCCATAATGATAAATTGTAGACACTATGACAATAAACATAAGACAAAAAGAAACCTTTGGTCATTATACTTTTTTTTTTTTTTTTTAGTCTAAGGCAATGATCACTTTAAAGGGGTCATATGATGCAATAAAAAATTACGAGCTCTAGGTGCATAAAGAAGATCTGTAAAGTTGCTAAGACTAAAGTCTCAAATCCAAAGAGATATTCTTTATAAAAGTTAAGAGTCAACCACGCCTACCTAAAACGGCTCGTTCTAACACGCCCCCACATGTCTACGTCACTATCTGGGACGATTTGCATAACGCCGCCCAAATGTTCACGCAAAGAAAGAAGGCAATGAGGCATAAAGGCTGATTTATACTTCTGCGTCGGACCTACGCCGTAGCTTACGCATAGACGCACACCCATACGCCGTAGCCTGACGTGCACCTCTCCAAAAATCGCGTCAATTCTATGCAGACCGCAAGTGCTGTGATTGGTCTGCCAGAACCCGTCCCTCCATATGTACTTGAGTTCTGTGTTTATGTGCACTTTACAAAATAATGTTATTTTTAGCAGCATCATATGACCCCTTTAACTATTGATCATACTTATGATCCAGTACATTCGTGCTACACACATGAACGAAATCTCAAATTATGCAGCTTGAATATTATAAAGGCAACATCCTGGGAAAAAAAACCCAGCCTAGCAACACATTTAAACACCAGAACAGCCTGACAACCAAGTCTTGGTGACTTTTGATTTGAACAGGCCATCACACAGTCTATGTATTGGAGAAGACCACTAGAGGGCGATATAGGACTACAACTACTTTATTCCTTCAGCATCGTGTGACGACGATCAGAAAAAAGAAACAGTTTTGAATTATTTTTCAAATTGGATTGACTTGAATTAGACAGGATTATGATTAGTGTGTTTTACATGAAAGCCTCTCATGTTATTGTGTTTACCATGTTTCACATAATGCATTCATTAATTTATTGTTATTTAAAAATAGAGTGTCTTTAATTAGCCTAGGCCTATTTGAATCAAATCGATATCTTTTTACTGAAACGTGATCTCTGGCTAGTTGTGTTTTCTGAGATAGTGTAAAGCTGTTAAGAACAGTGTTATTTTAGTATTATTTGTATAGCCTAATATTAAAGTATTTATAATAATTTAGCCTTTATTACTTTCTTTTTCATTTTAGTTTAACTCTAGTTTTTATATGTTGGTTTTTTGTAATTTTAGGACCTCAACTTAAAGTTAGTTGCCAAGGAAACATTTATAATTTTAGTTTAAGTTTTGTAAATTGAAGTTTTACATCTAATATTTACATTTTATTCAGATTTAATTCAATTACTGATAATGATTTTTAATAATTTTATTTTCAATTAAAAATGACAACACTTGAGAGTGAAGGGCTACACCAGATCTCACAGACACTAATGAAATACATTAGCGAAATACACCTTTCAGGTACACAAAGGAGTCAAAGATATAGCGCATGTTCCCTGTCTGGTATCTAATCCCATCTTTTGTCCGAAGACGACTAGAGTCACGTTTCAATTCAGTGTGTGTGTGTGTGTGTGTGTGTGTGTGTGTGTGTGTGTGTGTGTGTGTGTGTGTGTGTGTGTGTGTGTGTGTGTGTGTGTGTAAATGTGTGTGCCCAGATACAGGCCATGGATAGGTGGTGCTCCCTGGATCAAGACAAGCTGAGTGGCGACTATGTGTCAGAGCGGCAGAGGGAGTTGAGTTCCCCTGACTCATGAATAAAATATAGATCTCAGGAAACGCAAACAGACTTGTTGAGACAAGAGATACACAGCCAGAGAGAGAGGAAAGAGTCCACTTTGACAACTGGACAAAGACCCTTAAAGGGTCTGATGTTTGCTTTGGATATGAGCTCATGTTTAGGGGACAAGAGAAGTTTGGCTGATGCCGGTCGATGACGTCCTGTGGGCACGATCTGGCGCACAGCCATGGAACTGTCGCGAAAGCTGCACTGGATCCGCGAACAGCCCTGGAGGGCCCGGGCCCGTCACAGGAAGTTCAACAGTGAGTGTGATATTTTCATGTGTGTGTGTGAAAGAACATGCTGGAAGGGTTCATGAAAACATCTTTTCTCAGTGTAAATGGTCTATTCTTGTAAACTTTAAAAAATAAAGGTTCTTTATGACATCTATGGTTCCATGAACAACCTTTAACATCGCTGGAGCCTTTCCATTGGTTCTTATAGTAGAAAAAGGTTCTTTAGATTTAGAAATGTTCTTAACACGAAAGTTCACTGAAAGGTTCTTTGTGGAACCAAAATGGTTCTTATATGGCATCACTGCCCTGATGGTATCTAAATCATTCAAATGTGTCTGTAATTTCCCCCATATGTATTTTGTACGGGTCTGTGTTCACATTTGTGTGTGAAGACAAGGAGGGAGAGCATGAAGTGAGTGTGAAGGTACACAGTGTCCACAATGACTCGTCTTCTAGTCACTTTCTGCTCAGAGATAAACACCATGGGTGTCCGGGATCGAGTGTTGGTCACGCTCTGACTCACGCTGGGCTCTGATTGGCTGAAGGCCAGCACTGCTGATTGGTGATGTGTTCTTCAGATTAATGGCAGATTTGTGTAGCCAGAGGTTCACTCAGATGTGAAATAACAAGGAGTTTAATGTGCCTTAGTTTTAGCTCTACTTCTAACCCATAGTTAGTGGCCATCCAATCAAAATGTTCCCCTTGCTCACAGATTTCAGACTACAAGGGATCAATGTTTGGATGCTTAGCTGTTTCTATTGGTAGATGTCATAACTACATCATGCAGCCAGAAAAAAAATATTTAGAGGGCTCTTAAAACCTGGAATGTCAAAATGGACTACTGGTCAATGCTACTAACTAATATTAACCGATAGCTCAAGGCTGTGCAAGGCTGTAGTGGAACAGAAGTAGTCCTTCACATTTTGATAGCCTATTTAAAGATTAAAACCTTTTTCTTTTTGAATTTAAGGCCACTAGTTATCCAACACAATATCTGAAGGTCTTTTGTATAAGCTGTAATATTTGTTCCAGTATGTTCTGCTGTAATTAAACAAAGCTGCAGGTTTTCAAACTTTCTTATCTTCTGGAATTACAAAACATAAGTGTGTGATTCAGAACTGTGTTTATTAAAACAATAGCTATTACAGGAAAATAAAAAAGAGGTCTTAGACCTTGTCATGGCTTGATAATCAACTACCCTTTTAATGTGCTTTTTGTATGTTGGGTGACAATATCATTCCTTAATTTTATCTCTGAGCTGTATTGGTGGATCTGTAAATATCTAATAAAGAACCAGCTTTATTTATAATCATTTAAAGTTTGAAAGGATTGAACACCTTGGGATTATTTTGTATAACATATTATATTAAGGATAGCTTTTGCTTGCAAGCATGGACTAGTTTAAATTTAGTCTGAGGTTCACTGCTTTCTATCCCTAGTTCATTATATATATTTTTTTTTATTTGTGTAATTTGGTGCCTGTGTGTTGTGCTCTTTAGCAGTGTTGTCTGTGTGAGTGTGTCTGAGAGAGAGAGAGCTGAAGACGTGATAACTAAAGATGGCCAAGCACTAGATGCGGTTTAGTCTGCCCTTAGTCACTGTGAAAGGTCTTATACACACAGCCAAGTACAGAATATGCAAATATAGACAACTTAGATATGCCTTAAAGGGGTCATATGATGTTGCTAAAAATAACATTATTTTGTGTATTTGGTGTAATGAAATGTGTTTATGCGGTTTAAGGTTTAAAAAACACATTATTTTCCACATACTGTACATTACTGTTTCTCCTCTATGCCCCGCCTTTCTGAAACGCGTCGATTTTTACAAAGCTCATCGGTCTGAAAAGCTAGGTGTGCTCTGATTGGCCAGCTATCCAGTGCGTTGTGATTGGCCGAATACCTCAAGCGTGTGACGGAAATGTTACGCCCCTTACCATATTGTGATGCCTTTTCCCGGCACGACGAGACAAAAACATTAAAAGCCATTATAAGCGAGGATGGAACGCCAACCAAAGTAGTTTCGCTTTCACAACGAAACACACAGCGCCTTCACGACATGGCGGCAGCGGCAACAACAATACTACAGCGAGAATAAAAGTTACGCCTTCTTTCTTTGCGTGAACATTTGGGCGGCGTTATGCAAATCTTCCCACATAGTGACGTAGACATGTGGGGTCGTGTTAGAACAAGCCATTTTAGGTAGGCGTGGCTGACTCTTAACCTTTATAAAGAATATCTCTTTGGATTTGAGACTTTAGTCTTTCCAACTTTACAGATCTTCTTTATGCACCAAGAGCTCGTAGCACTCCAAAGAGAAAGGAAAAATTTAAATCACATCATATGTGTCACACCCCTTTAATGTGTTTTATTGTAACTTTAAGCTTAAGGATGATAATTATGGCATAATTGTGTGTCCGGACCTGTGTTACTGTAATTTAACT